GACCTTTTGACATTTCTTCGCCACAGAATTTATGCATGAAAAAACTTTGCTTATAGAACATTCAATTTATCATATTAGCACTTCAAGTTTCTTATTTTATTCAGTATTAAGTTTTGCTAGCTAAAATATGTTATTTAATAAAAGTATATAATTAAAACTGACCTTAGCTTGGCAACACACAGCGACCATGTTCTTTAACGGGACGTGACCTTCTCGAACTCCAAGTATTTGACATCATAACGGTTGAACCAGGAAAGGCAGACGAGTGAATATAGCAATTCTGAATGAGTGAAGTCTTATTACGAAGCATGTCTTGTGTTTGCATCGTTTAAGATGGCAGCTAAAGGCGAATTAGTCGATGCAACGTTGAAATTTGAATTATTTCATCTGATTTACCGCTGAACATTTGTTAGCAGACTCACTAGTGATTGGTGTTGATTGAAGAGAGAGAGACGGTGAATAGGGGAAATAGAAAAATGTAATTATGTTTCATGAGGGATTTTTGAAGCCTGAAAGCAGGGAAAGAGGATATACATGAGTTACAACAACAACAACGAAAGTATAGCAGAGAAAACTTTCTCACAGCAAATTTCAGTCGAAACTAAGCAGTCAAAACCAAAAAAACCATTGAAAAGATGAAAAAACTACTATCGACTTGTAGGAAGCCTGCGCATAGACAAGAAACAAAAGAAATCAAAAGAGCACAAAGCAATCTCGTGCCCAGCGCCCTTGTCCCTCTTACTGCGCATGGTCGACAGTGGTTCTGGGTACGAGATTGAGCACAAAGGAAAAGAAATGAGAAGAAAACAAAGAAAAGTGAGAAAACAAAAACTGGGAGAAAAAGAACTCAATAAAGAGACAAATATAAATGCTTTACATTATATTTTTGTCATTATCATAATGATTACAAAATATCTACTTTTGATAGCAGGATGAATATTATTTAGTTTGTACCTAAGCTATTTCCGTTTTATAAACGTGTATTTGTTTAATCGTTAAATTACTATATATGAATTAAAATGTTTTGACATAATACACTAGACCAGGTCTCGAGGGGATATAGCCCTTTCTTTGAGTCTGAATATAAATATAACAAGATATTTTCGAAACCRCCGAAACTTAATCTCGCACCCAGAGCCCGCACTATTGCCATCCAGCGGAAGTTAAGAAGTGTGGGCTCTGGGTACGAGATTGGCCGAAACCGCATTTAGATATTTTTGGTAACGCTTCTTTTCAAAGTGGATATTTTAGTTTCCAAAACGCGTCAATTTGAAAACGATGATCAATAAAAATAAAAATGTGAAATAAATAGCTGTCTAAAAAAGCCTCGAAATATGCGGTTTCGAAAAATATCCGGTTTCTGTTTAGGGTGTCCCAAAGAATAAAGTTATCTCGCTATAAACTTATCTAGCAATAAACTATATCCTTATTTATAAGACAGATTTCACATTCCACACTTTTATATTCTTGATGGTTGCTTTATATGCCCAAAGCAATACAACCGTATGCTCCTTAAACGCTTTCTTAGGACGTTTTCATAGGCTGCCCAACCATTGTTTAAGAGATGAAAACAGCAAGCTTCGTCCGGTTTTATAAAATCGGCGCGCACCCTTTGTATTTGTGGATTACCTGTGGTAGGTAGGTGACAATCCCGTTCCTCGCAGAATGCAATGTCTGTAACATACTGCTCATTGTATCCCGCGAAGGACGGGATCGCGACATAATACCAAATGCAATCCGCAATTTCACAAAGAGCGCGTGTCAATAAATAAATTAAAGCGTGCGAAGCTCGATTTTTTTCTTCTTTCAAGAAATAGTTGAGCAGGCTATGGACGTTTTCTTCATCAGTGCCCGCTTCAGAAAATGTTGTTGTTGAATAATAAAAACATTACAGCAGTTTATATCTCGGGCATTATGCTGAGATATTTACCTTTAGTCTTAGWAACTGTTTCTGCGGTTATTGRTGCTATTTGTTCTTCATAAAATTCAGTTTACGCGGGCAACTATCACAGCATAATGAGCTCGTTTCAACCATTGCACCRTTGTTTAAATAGCGTTTTTACGTGAAATTGTTGTTGAATGAGTCATATCTACAAACTTTCTAGAATGATTCCATAAGTCAGAGATAGATTCCCTTCGACCATAAAATAATATCTTAAATAAGTCGAGGAAAAATACGACGTTTGAAGTCCAAAAACTTTCATTGTCACTATTTTAGTCTTTTCTAGACTTTCACAAATTGTCAGTTAGTATCTCTTACACTATCTCGATTTACTACAATCTTTTKCAAAATTGCGTGAAACAGGTCGTCTATGATTTTGTTACTACAACCTCCYCTCGTCAATGAATTGCTACAAAATGGACAAGGAGGCGAAAGAAACGTGTGTGGGGAAAGGAAGTAGGGTGCTCCATTTATTTTGCATACGATTGTAGGAGTAAAGAGAGTTTCACTGTGCGATAAAAAGACACTGCATCATCTAGTGTAAATTGCTTAGTATTTTCTTATTCATAGACTAAGGAAAACCTCTCTTACTAGATTCCCTAATTTTCGAGCTACAAKCACAKGAAGCCMAAGKTGAACTAGCCAACTTATGGAATCGATCTARAACCTTACAACAATAATTTAATTACGGYTGCAAYAAATCTAACAGACTCATCTTTTCCGGGAAGAAATCCTGTTGTCCACCTTGGGCCAGTCCCTGTGTAGCCATCTGTGTAGTCATCTGAGCCTGCGATACTTGTCCAGTTGCCATTTGAGACTGTGTTTGGGCAAGCTGAGCTGACGACATTTGAACCTGTGAAACGACGATTAAAATGTTCTTTAACCTAAGTTGTATCGTGAAGTGTGGTGTGGTGTGGTGTGGTGTGGTGTGGTGTGGTGTGGTGTGGTGTGGTGTGGTGTGGTGTGGTGTGGTGTGGTGTGGTGTGGTGTGGTACAAACAATTGTCACCTGTGCTATTTGGTTAGCTAATTGCTGTTGCTGCTGTTGTTGTTGCTGCTGCTGTTGTGACTGTTGTTGTCGTTGCTGCAGCAGTAACGCACGCTGATGCTGTTGCTGCTGCTGTTGCCATTGCTGTTGCGTCATGGCTGGCTGCTGACCGGGAGTCTGATTTGTGACCTGGTTTTGAGCYTGCTGCAGTAAGTGGCGAAGCTGGTTTTGAACTTGGGACGGCTGAGTCTGTTGAAGCTGCTGCTGTTGCTGGTGTTGTTGTTGCACAAACTGCTGTTGCTGTTGCTGTTGAGCCTGCTGCTGCTGGAGTTGCTTTAAAAGATAATAAACCATCATCGTTTTTATCATTATCATCATCATCATCATCATCATCACCGCCATCATTATCATCATTTTTATCATTATCATTATCATCATCATCATCATCATCATCATCATATTGTTGCGTGTCGGGCTATATTGTCCAAAATTCAACCGTGCATTTCCTTACTTGTCATTACATAAAATAAGTAAAATATCAAGTAGAATTTTACACATACTTGCAGTTTTTGACGAAAGAGTAACTGTTGTTGTTGTTGTCGCTGTTGATGCTGCTGCTGCTGTTGTTTCAGAGCTTGGAGACGCTGAAGGAAAAATAAACAAAAATTTAAAAAAATAACAATAAGAAAGCATTTCTCAACAACGGGTCATTTGCAAAACGAAAAAAAAAATGCTCTCGGATACAAGTGTACCTTCACAGCGAAAATCGTTGCATCGCGACTTCTTCATTTCGAAGTTTGTTTTGATTTTGTTCTTTACTTCGATCTAAGGGGCTGAGCTTTTAGTAAACTTTTTCAGTCATTGTCTGATTTGCAGCAAGCTCCGCCCCAAAGTCGCAGAAAAACCTAAATCCTGACAATTTCTTTTGAACATTGAACTCGCGATGCAACGGTTTCTGCTGTAACTTCATCACAAAGTCCAATTGAAATATCAGAATATATTACCAAAGCATCCTGGTCTATTCCTGGCAATGTTGGTGTCATTGTTCCTATCGCTGCACCACCAACAGAGCCTGTGCTGTACGCGATACTTGAGGGTTGGGTACTAGTTATTCCATCGATRGTCTGGGGAGCCTGCGTTGTTACAGTTTGCATCAAGGCTGCTGGATCAATCTGCATTGGCGTGCCTTGTAGAGCTGTATTTTGCTGGCCAAACTGTAGAGTCTAAGGAATATAGCAGCATTAATATTTTGCTCGCTATCGATGTCTATACAGACCTTTTAGTTCACGACCGCCAATATCGGGGGACTAATGACGAATTGTGGAAACGAGAACACAAAGGTCTTCCATCTAAAAATCACTACGAAAATCGCATGTAGGTAGTATCCAAAAGTTTGAAAGTTGAGTTGTTATGTTATTTATAAGAAAACACTCTTGCAAGACACCATCGAAATTTACTATACGGAGTCTGGACTTTGAGACCTCGTTTTAGTGCTTCGTCCCCAGTGCCCTTGTCGGCGACCGTGACAAATCGCATCTTTTTTTGAAAGTCGTGAATGTTGTTTGGTAGTAGTGTTTTGAGTGTAGAGCGGAGTGTTGTTGTTGTTGTTATGGCTGCTTACAGTTTGCTATTTATAGTTGTTCATGTTGTCGTTGTTCGAAGTGGTGCAATACTCCGATTTCGAGTTCTGGTTTGCTCTGTGTTAGCCTCAAAACCAGGCAACATATCATTTTGTTTCATTGATAACTCGAGAAAACGCATGGAATTTGAAAAGAAAGACAATGGAATTGATTTGAAATCTCACACTTTTATTCTCACAATTAGGAATGTTTTGCGCACAAATGAGGCTAACACAGAGCATTGGAGAATTCGAAACTGGATTATTGCCGCAGTTGTTATTCCATAATTTTGCTGTCTATGTTGTTGATGTTAGTATTGTTTTGACTGTAGTTGTCAGTATTCTTGTTGATTAAACTTTGCTAGTTTTAGCCTCTGTTTTTGTTCGTAGTGCTAATGTTGCGCCA